CCAACAGATGATAATTCTGAACTCCAATATCTCTGAGCATAAGACACTAAAGGTTGGGTATCAATAGAGACTAGCCGACCATTCTTCTTAACAAAATCATCACCCAAAATTGTCACCCAGTTAGCATCAGGAATGAGCAAAAGGTACCTGTCACCTGGATTATCACACTGCTTTTGAACCCCCAAAAAGTCCAGTGCAAATTTCACATAACTGTTAGGCTTATGACACTCTTTGGGTTGAAATTTTGAAAGGTCTTCCAGAATTTGAACAATCTTATCCTTCCAACATGTCCAACAATAACACAGGCTCTCCACAGAAAATTGATTCTTTCTAATCATGTCTTCAACAGAAAGAGCAAACAACTTGTCGTGCCAGACATACTTAGTAGATTTCAGCCCAAAATGAGAATCCAGCAGTTTCCACAAACATAATATTTCCCCTCTGATACTTTCATGGATGCGACAACAATTCAATTGGTCAATCAATTCAAAAATTTTGTCATGCTTGCTTGATAGTATTTTAGCTTCTGTAGATGCAAGTTCATGAAAGTTACTCGACCCTTTCTTTGCAAATGTCAATGCTCTTTCCAAAACCTTGGCCTTCTGTGTAAACTGCTTTAAGGGCCATGCATTGCTTCCCCCAACCAAAGAGAATTTGAAAGTACATAAACAATCACAAGCTCATATGCTTCACGGAAGTCACCTATTTTTTCCATGCAAATCAGCCTCGCAAAGAATGTTCCCATCATCTTAGCAATATTTACCGCCTCCACATAGTTGCCTGATTTCTGTTCTAATTCAAGAAGCTCATCAAGTAAGCTTAATGATCTTAAGAAATCACGCTTGAAAATTATGGAATGAAAACCATTAACACATTTCATCATGGATTTGATATCTTTTTTGTCAAAATAACTGCGAGCACAATTCTCCAGAAATTTTTGCTCAATATTAGCCCAATCCCGGTCACCACCTTCATTTTGTTTCCACACTCTGGCCAACATCATACAATCCTCCTTTTGCACAAACGTCCAAACATTCGGAGAAGAAATTTCCTTGAGCGTACGCTTGAAATACCATTTCATAAGAACCGGCTAAATAAAAACAATCTCCGGCCCTTTTCAAATCTGGTTCTCCACCTTTTTCAATGTAAATTTTTCCTGTTACAAGAAAGATAATTAATTATGTAGAGAAAAAGATGATCTGTTTATTAATCTAAATTTTAGGATTCAAATACTTGCAACAAAGATGGCCTGTTATATATTCATATTTTACATACCAGCTTTTTCATAATCCCCCAAATCAGAAAAGCATTGGGCAGCAGACTCAGTCATTTCTATGCTTTCAAAATTTTCTGCATTCTTGGGGTTCAAGTCTTGTAAACTCTTTGCAGTTGCCCAGAGACCAGCAGCTTTAGACTTTTTTTCCCAATAAAAGTCTCTTGCTCTTTCAAAACACATTGTTGCCATCTCATAGTTTCTTTCCTGATATAACTGCAAAATGAACAATCAAATTAATAACGCATTCCACTGTATAAAATTATGAGGTATTTAGGTATAGGGATAATTTAAGTTGCAAGGAAAATTATAATAACAAACTAACAAATAACACTGCTTAGTAGTATATAAATTGATTACTAGGAAATCACAATGAATATGATGTTCCACTACAACGACAACCTTTATGCCACGCGACTTCCATTCTTCTGGACTACTTGCAACTTTCATTGCCTGAGCAAATGTATCATCCAATTCTTTGAATTGTACCAGACATTTTCTTTTCCAAAAATCAAACATAGGTCTGCAATACTCCTCTGTTTCCTCGCATATCCACAATCTCTGTCTTGTACGTGTTATAGCAACATATAGCTGTTTCAGCTCAGAACACAAAATATTGTGTTTGGAATCACTGAAACTTGGAAAAGACTTGGATTCTGTAGGTTCCAACAGACCTTGTTTATCCATGTACCCATAAACCACCCTCCATTGAATTTTCAAAGGCGAAGTGCCAAAAAAGTTGTACAGCAATACATCCTGCAAAAGAACACAAGTTAGAAAATTGACTATTTTATGAGGGGAATAAAAACTAAACAAACACACTCTAAATCAAACTCAAGTCCTTTGCACTCCTGAATAGTTAAAACAAGAGCTTGTTTCCCAATACTGTTTAAAATTTCCTTCCAAGCATTATCGTCACGTACCAATATTACTTGCTCAGCTCCAAATCCGACAAACTTCTCACCATCTTGTTCAGTGTTGCCAAATATTGTTACAACCGCATTTTTTCTGCTTCCACAATCAAGAATAACCGGAGCTTCTCCATATACCAAACAGGTCTCGGGCTTTAAAACATCAATAGAATGAGAGAAAAAACTGGAAAGAAGCTCAATGGTGCTCTGAGATAACTTAAGCACTTCAGAGTGAGTCCTGAAGTTCTGATTCAAGACAAATGTTTCTGAAACTTTTGCATTACCCTTTCCTTGGTTGTCATCACTTCTCTCTGATTCTGGAATGAACTTGTTGTAAAAGAGAGATCTGATATCCTCGAACCTAAAATCAATTCCCCTTGCTATGGTTTGTGCAGTATCCCCACATAAAACGAAACCAACTTCTACATTTTTACACACATGCTTCAATAATGCAATTTGACTCATAGTTATATCTTGCACTTCGTCAATATATACAGAGTGAATGTCATCACCCTTATATTCGTTGTCTCTGAGTCGACGATGCAAGTCAGAAACAATGTCTGCCATATCAAAATCCCTTTATCCATCTTCATATAGATATCATATATGACCTCCCTTTTTTGCTTGCTTAAACTGGAAGTTCGGTTTTCAGACAAGGAAAGATAATCCGAGCGACTTAACTTCCCTTCAGCAAGATCCACAGACTTCTGACCCCCTTTTATATTATACACAATTTCTGCGAACACTCTGGATGAATCTAACATTTTGGTATGTTTGGAATTGAACTGTGGCCAATATAATGCATTAAACCTTTCATAAGTCACCGTTACAAATAATTGGTTTAAGACATGCCTGTCATTAACAGCAGAGCTGCCTTCATTCCCTTTATCCTTACTCAAAAAAGGAACTTCAGCATTCTTAGGAGTCTCATTGTATAATTTCTCCATCTTAAATAATTTCATGATCAAAACAGTGGTTTTCCCGGTACCAGAGCGACCCAGTACAACTGTACTTCTAGAAAAGTGTATGATGTCATGTTCTTCATCTGATACTTCAAACAGATGTTCCAGTTCATTACTCTTACGATCAGAAAGTAAGTGGTTAACCACATCAGATGATAAGGGATAAAATTTCATCAGCAGAAAACTCTCATCAACCTTGGAATCCTCAACATAACAACTCGATTCTACTTCATTTCCATTATCATCAAGCTTCTGAATTTTGATGATTTCTTCTGATTTTTCCCAACTCTTTGGGATCTCCTTTTGACTGAATTGCAACAACTTGGGAAGCATAGAGAGAGACTACACCTATGCTGAGATGATTCTTGTTTGAGCCAAACCATTCTACATCATTTCAGTCAAAAGGAAAAAAGAAATTTCATTACAAATTAAGTTCATATTCTAAATATTAACCTAAAAACAAGCAATATGCTGATCACAATCCTAAGGAATATTTTCTTTTATGCAGGGAATAAGAAATTGCTAACATGATAAATAACAAAGAAGCATTCATTTATCTATAATATTGTACACACGTAGGCACAAACCTCTGAAGCAGTTTTCGATTATTTTCATGACAACAGCTACTTCAACCATGTTTTTCCGACATCTTCGAGCATCACCAAATCTTTGGGTACCACCACTAATATTTATAAACAAATATGTACCGAACATTCTCTGGGGTAGATATTTCTGTATATAGTTCTTAGTCAAAGTGTTTGGACCATTATCAATATTATTGGGATAGAATATTGAATTTGGAAAAGAGCTTATCTCTGGATGCATTAGGTACTGTATGTTGAGGAAGTGATTTGGATGACCCAATGTGCTCAGCCTCCCAAATAAGCTTCTTCCGAAATTAACTCCAAAAGAAACCTTAGGCATATCAAGGAGAAACAATAGTGTTAATAGTCAATAGTTAAAACATTTCTAAATTAACAAAACGATATATGTTTAGAATACATACACTACTTTCAACCAACAAGAATAGCATGGTTTATGTTAGGAAGAAGTAGAGGTATCACTGATTCACACTCTTTCAACTGTGCAGCTTCATCTATCACTAAAATATCAAGTGGCTCCATCTTATAATTGTGCAGCATAAAGGAACTAGAAGCTGTGGAAAATATTAACGGAGATGCTTGCAAACAAAACTCTTTGATTGACTCTTCAGTCTTATCATTTGGAAGGCTGAGCTTAGCAAGTGAAACTTCAAGGGTTCTGAGTAGAGAGAGGCAATCGGCTCTGATTTGACGCAGTGAGAATTCAGCATCCTCAAGAGAATTATGTTTACTTTCTAGAGACGGAAGCTCTTCCAATACTTTATAATCAATATTATTTTTCAACAATAACTCTTGAAATGATTTGAGGCTGCGAATAAGAGAAGCCGAGTTTTGTAAGTTCTGTTCCATAATGCAACTTCTGGTAAATGCATGCATAATATAGAAACATAGTCTTTGAGTGGCGATGCTATGGACAGAAACCTTTCTTCTACGAACTCTAGAAAAGACTTGTGCATCCTCACCTCAGAACTCGAAGGTTTGTCATGTTTTGACCCGGTATAATTATCATGTTGAAAGTGACCTTGTTCCTTTCTGAACTCGTTCTCAATTAACATAAGATAATTGGAAACACAATTCTCAAGAAGATCAATCATTGAAACAAAACAATGTTTCCAACCATTCAATGGTTTAAAACACTGTGAGAGTTTCTTGACACTGTAGTCTAAATATATCTCTTCGATTTCTGCACCAACTTTGAGCAGCTCTTGATTCCCAATAGAATGTCTCCAAAATTACGGGTCAGAGCATCCCATCATGAAATGATTCTCTTGCAATGCTCAACACACGGGATGCCAATATTTGTCGGAGCGGAAACAAGAGTCCTACGGTTCATCTTCAACGGAGCAAAAAGCAGTGAGGCCAGAGTTTTTGTTTTTCCCGATTCTGGTGGACAGCTAATAAGATCCACAGTAGAATTACTGCAACGAAAGGAAGAAAGGCAAGCACAAATTTCCTTTCTTTGTGACTCATTCAAATCAGACGACAAACTTTGATATGTTTCATCATCACTAAGAGCAAAATAACTTCTCTCAACAACCTGCAGCAATGCAGACATGCATAAAGTTGCAGCAAGAATTAGATAAAATGCCAAAAATGTTAACAAACAATCATATCAGCTTAGCATATCTTCAAAATACCAAATAACCAGCTCGTGAAATTTTGTCAACCAGCTCTGAATTTCCATCCATAGACAGACTGTTCCATATTCTTCTATTGGTAGTGATATTCATTAAGAATATCATAAACAAAGGTTTAGAGGTGGTGGGAAGGGGTTTAGAGATCAGTAGAAAAGTGGAAGTAGGTTTAATACCATCCTTCCTTGACATCTTTACCGAAAACACAAAATCCCATCCTGCAGAACTCTTCAAATCATCAACAGATTGAGGATTAAAATCACACAAAATGAAAACACTACCTGATTTGTAAATCCCTTTTTCGTCGCCAGAAAAATTATAGGTCTTAGCACTATAAAATTACTGTTACGTGGTCTTGAAACCGAAAACACTCGAGAGGGGAAGTATAAATTTTTTCTACGGAGAACAAAAGTTTGCTCTTGTTTCTTTAATAAAGGATGCAGAAATGAGTTGAAATATTGATGAACATAATCAAATGATAAAGCAATAGATTTCATCTACAAAAACAAAACAAAAAATAAATTAAAATGTAATAGGGAAAGAAATGCAATAATATATAGAGAAAAAAAGTTGAAAACCTTGTTCTGGTAGGGATCTTGTTTGAAAATGTCTTCAAGAGAGCATGAAATCACATGTTGATGAAAGTGTGATCATTCCATTGTTTTTCATTCCTTTGTTTTTTCTTGCTCCATTTCGTTGAATCAAGAATCGCAGTAAACTCACAAAGTTTGAAATGGAGAATTGCAAAAAGCTGTGAAATGGAGAATTGCAAAAAGCTGTGAAATGGAGAATCGTAAAAAGCTATATGAGTGTGTAATGGTGAGTACGGAGCTTTTGTTTTTTTTGCTTAACAAACTAACAACAGCTATGTGAGTGTGTAATGGTCAGTACGGAAGCTTTTGTTTTTTTTCTTAACAAACTAACAAACTTTGAAATGATTGACGAATTGGGCTGGAAATGAGTCTAATCGAGTCGAACTCACCTCAGCTCGGCTCGATTTGTTAAGAATTGTTCGAGTTCGAGTTCAACACAAACTTTTTTTTAAGCTCAAACTCGACTCGTTATAAGTTCACGAACAGTTCAACTCGTTAGATTCATCTCATTAAATTCAGCTCAAATGATTCACGGACTTAAAAACTATTATATATATATATATATATATATATATATATATATATATATATATATATATATATATATATATATATATATATATATATATATATATATATATATTATATTTGACATTTTAAATAAATATATTTTTTTAAAATAAAATACAAGTTATCATATTGAAATTTAACCTTATTTTCGAAATCTACTAATTCAAAACCTACACAACTTTCAAGAGATACATTTGAGAGTCTAATTCAAAAACTACTAAATTGAAGATTAAATTTGTCTAAGATTTAGAGTAAATATTTAAACTTAATCTTAAAGACAGTATAATTCTTCTCATATGTAATCGAGTTGACTCATGAACCTAACGAGTCGAATTATGTATAGTTCAAGTTCAACTCATTTAGTTAACGAACTTAATTTTCCGCTCATACTCAACTCATTTGGTTCATGAACCTAATTCAACAATTTAATTATCGAATCGAATTCTGAACTATTTTCGAGTTGTTTCGATTCATTGTCTGCCCTAATGCCGAGCCTAACAAATTAACAAACTTAGAAATGAGTGTTTGAGCCTAACTAAATAACACACTCGTAATTTCTTTTAGTCACCGTTTGATTGAAAAAATTATGAAATAGTAATGAAAATTAATGATCGAATAAAGATTATTAATTAATTGCTTTTGATATTAAAAAATGTGAGTATATGTATTATTTATATTTTTGGATATTAAAAAATGTGAGTATATTCATTATTTATATTTTTTGATATTAAAAAATGTGATTATATACATTATTTATATTTTTTTATATTAAAAAAATATATGCATTATTTATATTTTCTTATATTAAAAAATGTGAGTATATATTATTTATATTTTTTATACAAGAATAAAATAGGGTGATGAGATAGAAATTTTGCATTTCATTTCTTTACAAGTTTGCATACAAATTTGTCTTACTCAAACCACTAACTACATATACCGTACCGTACCTACTATGCAGCACCATTACCGCACCATTACTACCGATATCAATATTAACACCATTTCGAAACCATTTTATCACAAACGTTTTCACAAAATCAACAATTTAATATTGAATCAACATATTATGTTTATACAAGTAAAGACCTTAACGCAACAAAATTTACACTATCAATGATTTTTTAAAATTTTAATATAACTTTAGTTAATCAACCTTAAATATTAAGTGTTCCATTAAATGAGCTCACTTTAACAAGATTTCTTTTAAATTATAAACATATTCATTAAGTGTATTTCATTATTAAGTTTTTTTTAATAAGAACTCTTTTAAATGATCATACTAATTTTATGAAAAACATTGTTTATATATATAAATTATTTTTAATTTAGTTTAATTTCGATATATATATATATATATCGAAATAATGTTTCGCATTAAACGAAAAGGTCTTTGTAATATACTCCATGAGCAATAATTATTCCAAAATTTCCTTCTCCAATTTTTACAAAAGATCACTTAAATTTTTTTGTTTGAGACGAACACTTTTTTGACCTTAAAAATCTCACGTCTGAAAGAACAGGTGCTCTACTGTTTGAAGTTTATAGGGCAGTTAACCCATAACGAAGACCACTTGCGAGTCTTTCTTACTTCTACGTAAGATCCTGATAATCATCTATTTTGGGTCTTGCGATCTAACCCAAAGCAGACGATTGTTAGCCCAACGCTGGGGGCACCTTATAAATACCCTCCTCCACATGAGGGTCAGCTATTATAAACTCATTTTGTACTTGTTTTCTCTCTTTACTCTGAACTTCACTTTGTCATCGGAGTGCCTTGCAGGTACACCCTCCTCCTTTTCTCCACCACTAGAGAATTTGTAGCTCACGGCGTGTTGCTGGCTGCTGATAGTCTTTCTGATCCAGAAAGATCAGTGGCGCCGACTGTGGAAACATTTTACTCCCCCGTCTTTCCTTTCTCTGAAACCAAAAGACTAAAGCAAACCTTTAACTTCCTTCGACATGGTCAATCAACACGCGACGATAACATCCACGAAGTTTCCTTCACCACCTTCACGCTGATAATGACCACGACAATAATGTGATGGTCGCTGCTAAGAAGGTGACCCTAGGGAAGGACTCACTGCATCTCCCTCTCCCGATAATGTGCCCTACAACACCCCCATCGTTTCGAGAGTCCTGCGGTCTTTCAGCCAATTTTTGTGGCGCCCAACGCCGATTCTACCACGGTGACCTTGTTCGCGACAATCAACCAGACGAACCTGGTGATCTTTTCAGCATAATGAACAGATTGGAATGCAGGAGAAAAAGCATCAATCGAGCTTTCCCCCGCGGAGATATCGCGCCCAGTTTCTCGTAGTCCGTCCTTGCGACGACGAGAAACTCATCCTAACTCTCCCCCGTGGAGACACCAACGGGATGAGTCTCCCAGCCTCTCACCGCAACAACCTAGACGTCGGTCGCGGCTAGAGAGACCACAAACCGCAATCACTCAAAAGCGGGATCGCACTCCTTCCTGCTAAGAGCGGTGCTCCCCGACTCCCAAAAAGAGCAAAGTCGGTGGACAGTTGAAAAAGTCAAAAGGTCGACCAAGAAATTTGTCGCGTCGTGGCAGAAGCCCTCAGTACGACTACTCCTCCGTCGCGCTCATCAGTCTGAAGCGACGAAGACGGTCCCCGCCGTCCAACATATTATGTTGATACAAGTGAAGACCTTAATACAATATCACCCATTTATTTAAATTTTAATATAACTTTAATTAATCAACGTTAAATATCAAGTTTTTTTTTAGTAATACCTCTTTTAAATTATCAACTCATTAATTAAATGTATGCTGGTCTTAGATATTAAGTCTGTTTTTAGTAAGAACTCTTTTAAATTATTATAGTAATTTTATGCAAAACATCATTTATATATTTAAGTTTTTCTTGATTTAATTTATTAAAAAATTAATATTTATCGAAACAATGTTTGACATTAATAAAAAGTCTTTGTAATATGCTCCATGAATAATAACTATTCCAAAAAATTTATATCTCCGATTCACCAAAGATCACTTAAACTTTTTATTTTTTCAACAAACACTTTTTGAGATTAAAGCTTAAAATCTCATTTTTGTTATTGTCAATTCTGACATATTTAACTAAAGATGTTGATTATGGACTAGTTTGTTTTAGTTTTAGAAGGGAAAAAAAAATTGAAAATGAACTTTATAAAAATATTTTTTAAAATATTATAAATTTTTTAATTTGTTTTATATAAATTAAAAGATTAATTTTGACATTCTATAACATAAACATACTTTATTAAAGATCAAAACATAGTCAAAATCACAAATTTTTTAAAAAGTTGTATCTCAAAAATGATTTTTTATTGAAATAGGTTCAAATTTAAGTGATTTTTAAAATTTTGATATTCAAAAAATATTTTCAATAAAATGATGAAAGCTACCTAAAATAACATTTTAAAATTAACAATTTAAACTAAATTTTTATTTGAAAATTTTTTAAAAAGTTTCTTCGTAAAAAAATTTTTATACCAAAATATGTAACATTATAAAAAATCATTTTTAAAAAAAGGTAAAACAAAAGGGACCTATGTTTTTTAGTATACCTGATTAAAATAATAGTGTTGATCACGAGAAGTTAAGGTGATAAATGTGTAATGGATCTATTAGTCTTATAATTGGACTAAATCTCATTACCTTGAGATCTTTAGTGTTCGTGGATAAAATTTGTGACAAATACCTAGAGTCCAACACTCATAAGGGAAAACAATTATCTCTTGGAGAAATCTGAGCAAGAAAGAAGTAGACAACAAAATTTTCTCTCGGTTTAGAAATCTTCAAAGACTTTTGAGTTATATTTGAGAAAAAATCAGGGGGAATAAGCTCTCCGAAGCTTACCTACTAGTTGATTTCAAAGCTAAGTGTTATCTTCTATGGAGAGAAATAAGATTTTAGATCATATGCATTATTATGGACTGCTACTGTCCATCTCTATAAGGTAAATCGTTCATGTGACATTGGATTTATCTGCTTTGATTATTTTACGCATTTTTGATAATGTA